GGGGGGGGGGGGGGGGTAATTCGCACCGAAATATTTTTGAATGGATTTTGTTCAGTGGAGTGCTCCTATGAAAACGGTGGGGGGCGATAAAGGCAGCTGGTTCTGGGTAATAAAGCCTCCCCATGCCCACTGTAGGTGAAGAAGCCCACAGCTGTGTAGTCTTACAGGCCATATTTAATTGTTCTGGGAAGCCCAGCGCGCAGTGTTTTGTATTTATGTAAGTAATGGGTCGAAGAATACTGTGTTTGCTGTTGTATTGTGTGCTTATCTTTACTTTTCACAGCAGTGGGAGCTTGTCAGTATGTCCAGACAAAGAGCAGTTTCCCCTAACATCAGAGTTGTTTGGATTCTCCATAAATAAAATCTGGCAGTCTGCTTGTACACAGCTTGTACAGTCTTGCTTTAGTGCCGGCTGATCCTGAGGCCTGTTCAACATGCAGTGTACCACTGGGAGAGTAAACAAGTGAAATGTTGTTTGTCGTCCGAGCACCATATCCTTTGCTGTCTTCCTGCAGGAAGTTTAGCCTCCACAGTAACTTAACTTCCCAATAAAGGGAAACAAATAGGCCCGTTGTTCTGCTGGTGGCTAGCTGCAGACACAACAACTAGGTGCTCACGAGTGTAAATGTAACTTTCCATTGTTTATTTTTCAGTGTTCTGGATTTTTATGTCCTCCTGGCTTCACAGCTCCCATCCGAACAGATCAAGCATAAGGACTTCTCCGCTCCTGGAGCGATAAGATCAATAAGATGCCATTATTTTTCACAGGGTTTTTATGTCTGGGAAAGATTAGTTTTTCGTGGGGCTGTGCTGAACTAAGTAGGCACAGGAGTGTTTTAAGATGGCTCCAGTATGTTGATGGCCTGGTATAACGTTTAACATATTTTCCTTTAATGCCAAAAATGTTTGGCTTAACTCCAGCTGTCATAGCTCTGCACATCAGGAAGGCAATTTCCCCACTGACCACTCTCCTGAATGGGCATAAAGACATCTGTAGTGATGTGTGAATGATTTGCTATTATTGTGCACAAAGGCACAAAAACAACCCCATTAATCTGCTCATTCTCTCTGTCATCATGCAAATATTTCTATTGGTGAACCTGTTTTCCTGCCGAGTTTTGGATTCACACTTTCCCTCATTAGTTGCACTCAGATCTTTAATTTAGTGTTTCATCTGATTCTTAACTTTCTGTTGGAAATTCAATGTTTTTGTTACATTACAGGAGAGTTGGCGGGCTTATTTTCCAGATAGATGAAAGATAGATTAAAAACGATCTTCCCTAATGAAGATGGAAATGAGGCTGCCTAGGTACCCCATCTCACCCACTGCCAGCAGCGCACTCCTGGAGGCAGACCTACTCAGCAGCCATGATAATGACAGCGCCAGAGAAAGTCTTTCAATCTTAGTTTGAATAGAGTTCTGTTGCTTTCTGCCATCAATAGGGCACGGAGAGGACCCTGAAGAAGAAATATGTTCTCATCTATTTCTAACAGCGTCTTCTGCATGGCTAACCAGACAATGGGTAATTGAGCCGGATAGATATGTCTTTCAAAATGAAGTTATGTGCACAATGTGAACAATAAGGCACCTGTCAGAATTGGCAGTGGAACGGCTTCCTGTGACATGCCCACAGGCCACATCCAGTTGTTATCATTGCAGAGCTGGTTAGGATGTCTTGTGGCCTAGTGGGCTTGGAGACGCCCCACTCCAGTTACAGCCGTTGAGTTGTGTTTGTGAAACAGAAATGGCCTGTGAAGATATTACTATAACACATAACAGTTCTAGATCTTTCTTTAGGTTTGGGAAATGACTTAACAGCAGTGGCTTCTGTCAGTCTTCTTGTTACACCACTCCCCCAGTGCTCCCGACAGCCATCCCCTGCTCTTTCCCCATGTTTGTCTCTGTTCCCACGGTGCTTTGCTACCGGTGTGCTGACTAGTCATGATTTGGAGAACAGTAGAAAGGAAAAAACTCCTAAAGGACTTAGGTTCAGACCACATTTGTTAGGGGTGATGCATTTCTCCTCATTGTACCACAGAAGCATGCCAAACCATGTGGCGCCCCCCCTTTCCAACAGATCCCACACCCCATGCATGTGACGAGGATCAGGAAACCTGGTCTGGTCTGCGCTGGCTGACCGGCTGGCCGGCCAGGAGTCACAATAGGCCTCCCAACCAAATCCTGTTGCTTCAAAACCAACCGACCAGCAGACAGGGGATCACATGCTGCCTGCTCCTGTTTTGAGAGCCAGACTTTCTCTCTGTCTTTTTGTCCGCCTTTGTTTTGATAGCAGTCTGGATTTATGGAAGGATTTAAGCCCCACTCATCACTGTCAGGGAAAGCACAGATGCCGTCATTAGGTTGATGTTTTTTATGAATTGATCCCCTGTTCCACTCGGGGTCTGTTTGTGATGGATCCAGGTGGTTTACTGAGCAATGTTCATAATGTGTGTACAGTACAGACAAAGGCTGGAAATAAGTTCCTCGTCCGATTTGAGATATCAGTTACATTTGTAATATTGATTATCACTGAAGAGCTCATTAGCGCCAGTAATACTTCCCCTTCGTTCGGAGAAAAAAAAAAGTAGCTTCCGTATGAATCTGTGAAGAAGGTTGAAACACGGCTTTGACAGCTCCAAGGTCAGGGTGTTGGGTTCTGTTAGGGTCATTCATCCTTTTCCTGTACTGCGCATTGTACGACTTCTCTTGTGTAATCAGCGTAATAGCATTAGGACGGCATGTTTAACAGCTTGCTCAGGCGCTGGCATATGTCAGCATCCATTCCAGGGAAACACAGGAAGACGCCAGCAGCCCCTTTACAGCACAATATTTCCACTCTGTATGTGATGCACACAAATGAGATGTTATGGCCTGTGGCGTGTGTCTTGAGGACATATGTGGATTGGTGTCCTCATGTGCCACTTTGCTTGTTTATTTATTTGTGTCTAGTAGATGTATGTTAATCTGACTGTACTGATGTGGTTAAGCCTTATAGTAGATATAGTAAATTAGAAGCAGATGGATGCTCTGTTTGATCAGATGTAATGCTTGCCATTTAAAGACATTGTACGAAGGGATTTCTGCATTATACCTAATGTGCTTTTAAAGGACACTCAGTGAATGTTTTCCAATGCTTTTATCTCAGTACAACTGGCTAAAATAGCTGCTACACCAGCCCATCCCTTGTGTCTGGTACCCGCTCTGCTCTTTAATTTCCCACCCTCTTGCCACTCATCTAGTGGCTTGCTGTCGTGCCAGGCACTTTTGAGTGAAAAAGCAGTGTCATGGCTGGAGGGGAAGCTGCTGGATGGAGCAGATGGTATAGTGACAGAAGTCAAAAGCTGATAGCACCATTGCTTGTGAGGACCCTGTCAACCTCTGGTGACACACAGTCGAGCTTCTGAAGGACTGAAGAGGAGGTGAGATGTGGGGGCAGACGGGAGTAAAGGTTTTGAGCCCTCTGGTGACCGACTCATGCATAGCTAGACCAATTATGGAAAAGATCAGGCATCTGATAACTTAAGCTGGAGCCATGGTATACATATGATATACAGTATGCTTCCCTTTATCCTACATCCTTTGTTGTAGTGCAGACTGTGAATGTGCAGTGATATATTACATTATATGATCCATGCATTAGATGTTACTACCGTATCACTGGTCATGGAAACAAACCCATATGACCAGCTTAGACCTTTTAAACGATGACCTTTTGAAACCCCACACATTTTTCTGGACTAAGCTCCATCCTACACACACAACAGACAGGCAGAGCTACTGTACATATGATCTTAACTGAATGCCGGGGGCTTACAGATGTAGCCCTCACTGTCAGTACAGATATAACAGTAAGATTTTCCATGTGAAAGAAAATCATTAATCCTCCAGATAATCTCGTTGATCTTCAGACAGAATGGTTACATGTGGGTCATGTCAGTTTATAAAGGAGGATCATCAGTGTTGTCCTTACATTATGTGGCTTAGGCGCAGCGGCTTAGAGTTTTTGCGTCGTGCTAAAAAACTATATGGAGAGCATCTGGATGATCATCCAGTGGGATGGTAGTGTGCGGTGGGTGGCTGAGAATAAGCATGCTTTATCCATTGGGTCCACGGACACTCTTTTACCACAAACTTCTCATACCTCTGTCAGTGGGTTCGACCAAGATTTTGGAAATTCATATCATATCATTTTCTCCCAGCCAGTGTACGGCATCTTAAAAAAAAGGATATATGTATCTGTTATTTCAAAGACTGTGACTGTTACTTTTGTCAACTCGCCAGACAAAAATTGGCTTAAAACAATAACCGTAAGCACTTGTAAAATGATGTAAATCTCAGTGAATTGGAAAGAAATTAGCTGACTAGTTGACCCTGCC